TCGGATTTCGGGTTTGGGGGTTTAGGTTTTGGGGGTTCAGGTTCAGGGTTTGGGGTTTCGGGCTTCGGATTCGGGTTGGGGTTCCGGGTTTGGGGTTTCAGGTTCAGGGTTTGGGGTTTCGGGTTTCGGTTTCGGGTTGGGGGTTTGGGGTTTCGGGTTTCAGGGCTTGGGGTTTCGGGTTTAGGGGTTTAGGGTTTCGGGTTTCGGGTTTCGGGTTGGGGTTTGGGGTTTAGGGGTTTAGGGGTTTAGGGTTTTAGGGTTTTAGGTTTGGGTTTCGGGTTTGGGGTTTAGGATTCAGGCGTTCAGGGGTTTGGGGTTTGAAGGTTTAGGGTTTAGGGCCCCTGACGGGGGACCCTTCTAAACCCCACTTTTGGCTCTCTGAAAACGGACCTCATTGAGAGGGTCTATATTTTCATGGGTCCCCGTAATCCGAACTCCTATTCTAGAATCTAGAACAACATTAGGCTTTCTCCCACGGGTTCATGGGTTCCCTTATGGGCTTCTGTCTCTGGTTCCTCTTAGAGGGTTCCTTTCAGGGTTCGTGAAGGGTTTCTTATCATGGTTGCTAGAAGGGTATCTATATGAAGGAAAGCATTAAGGCCCCCATATTGGGTCGATCTGTAAAGGGAGCCGAAGACACACCTACGCCCAACACCCCGGAATATGTGGATTTACATTCTCAGGGTATAATGCACCGCCAGGTAAAAGAAACCACACATGCACAGCCGTATGAGAGCCAGAAGACTGTATCAAGCTCATAAAGACGTGTTTGAGTTCGATCTCGTTTAAAGCACTTAATGAAACCTATAGTGATCCTGATAGTCTTGCGCCTGCAGAGAGGGGCCCTGGTACGTGAGCGATTTACATTTTGAAAGTTATTAAGCTAACACTTTTACAAAAGACAATAAAGCCCTCTACAACTTGTATACAATATCCTACGAACACCTTAGTAAGCCCGGGATCCACAGGATTTCCACGCATCCCGAGAAACGGGATAGCACTTTGAGATTTTCGTTATGAGGGTTTAGCCGGTTCAGACTGCAAAAACCTAAAAGCCGACATGCCCAATGCCGCGTAAGCCCTGCCCATGAATATCATCTTTAAAGGAAACCCTGCACCGCAAGCCCTCTTAGAACAGGAAACCTTAAACCCTTAAGATGCCGTCAATCATTCGACCCGGTCTAGCCCGCACAATGAGATGCTGCTCCCTCAAGGGCCGGGGCCTCCTACGGTGGCTCGGGTGTTGGGGTCATCCCTACTTTTGTATGTGGCAGCATATCCTATAAAGAACCGACTAGAGAAGTGCAATGGTCCTGATAGCCTACACCCCAAACTCCCTCGGCCCTAAACCCCTAAACCCTGCACCCTAAACCCTAAAACCGTAGACCCTTAACCCCTAAACACTTCTGAATCCTGAACCCTAAACCCCTGAACCCTAAACCCCTAAACCCTAAACCCTAAACCCTTAAACCGCAGCCCCAGACTTCTGAATCCTGAACCCTAAACCCCTAAACCGTACACCCCTGAACCCCTCAACCCTGCTTTAACCCCAAATAACCTACCTTTTTTAAGGAACTAGATGTAGAAACCATAGTAAGGAACCCTAAAAAGGTAAGTCTTTTCGGCTACAGGTGGTTAAACCAAGAGGGCAGTTGTCAAAATTATGGTCCCTTTTGGGGTACCCTAAATAATAGGTGCCGTAATAATAACAAGGACGCAAAAGGGACCATAATTTTGACAACCACCCAAGAAAAGGAACTACAATGGAGACTATAGGCAGACTTCTGAGTCCTGAACCCTGAGGCCAGCAACTTTGCTCTCCAAGTGCTGCTTCGGCTGGTGCTGCTCTTACCCTATGAGGGTTTAGGTTTTTAGGGTTTAGGGATTTAGGGTTTAGGGTTTAGGGTCTAGGGTTTAGGGTTTGGGGTTTAGGGTTTCGGGTTCAGGGTTTAGGATTTAGGGGATTAGGGGTTTAGGGTTTAGGGTTTAGGATTGCAGGGTTTAGGGTTTAGGGTTTACAGGGCTTGGGGTCTTGGAGGGTTTTGATTGGTCAGTGATTTCGATGAATGCATGCAAAAAGACGTCCTCAAAGTAGTGGTGAGTGTTGTTTTTCGGCGTGATTTTGGCATACTGCTAATATAATCCTACGTCTTATGACTTCACATTTGAGGGTTCTTCCAACTACGGCCCCTTATCATGCTGAAACTACAGCACCTAGACGCATGAGTATGGATCGGACATTTCGGACAATACGCCTGTTGGCCTCCAGAAGTCTGCAGAAGTCCTCAACTACGTGAGATCCGAGATGATCCGTGTATGTATGTGGTCTGCGGGGCGGCGTTTTCCACAAGTCCTTGCGGTCCGTATTCTGCGTGGTTGTCAATGCCCTTTTGCATTTCAACCTGCCCGGTTGTCTTGAGCCCAAAGGGTCCTAAGTACCTCTATAGTAGAATGTAGGGTTTCTATAGTAGGAACTGCTACTCTGCTTTGGGGAAGTATCCCCCCATACCAGTACCTAGGACCCTACTTTCGCAGACCTCTGCAAGTTGAGTTCGTGCTCCGTTGAACGAAGGGCCGCTTCCCTCACCCCCTTGGTTTTGCTTTGGGGTTTTGGTTTAGGGTTTAGGGTTTAGGGTTTAGGGTTTAGGGTTTAATTTTTTTTTTGGGGGGGGGTGTCCGAAAACAGGGGACTGTAAGAATTTAATGTAGTGCCCTAAACAGTAGGATCCTTATTATAAGATTTGGGGGTTTCCGAAAATAGGGGACCCTAAGAATTTAATGTAGTGCCCTAAATAGTAGGATCCTTATTCTAAGGACCCGAAAATGGGTATCCCTTCTTTTCAGAAACTCCCACTCCTGGCAGGTACAACCGAGTCCTGGCATGCTGATGGAGACAGCAGGACCACCAACAGCGGTGAAGCGGACGGATCTATGGTCACAGTAAATATGCCTGTCTGTCTGTCTGTCTGTCTGTCTATCTGTCTGTCTGTATGTATGTATGCTACACATAAACATGCGTACATGCATAACTACTCATATACACATCTCATACCTATGATGATGGGTACCATGCTATGGACATCCGTTTGCTACTGATGCGTCAAAGTTGCTCACAGTTGTGCATGTAGATACTGTAAGATCTATCTTGATTCAGTATCGACTTATCTATGTAGTACGGCTGCTCCACACACGAACACATCCACACCTACGTCTAGCTGCGTGTCACACAAAGTGCATAGCTTGAGCTACTCTGCGCATCTCAGGCTTCTGCCGGCATATCGAGGCCCAGGAGCATTCACGATTCCGAGAGCGTAGAAGAAGGCGAGTGGAATTTCAGCGCCATGGCTTCGAACCGATGGCTTTGCCTTTTCTGGACCTTTGCATTGGCTACTCTCACGCAACGTGTGGTGGCCGAGGTCGTTTCACCTACGGGTGATAGCTTGATGATCCGGGGGCTTCCCTGTACGGCCCTAATCCTGCAGCCCTAACTCCCTGGTCAAACCTTCCTATATAAATTCGGTTAACCAAAAACAGGAACTACGATGGAGACTATTGGTAAATGGACAGAAAAGAGGGTATGTGCACCGTTGAAGCATTGGAGTTGGCCCAGACAGGTGCCCTATTAAGCAAAACCCGACAGGTGCTGTTAAAAGTACAACCTACACCCGGAAACCCCAAGCAGATGGTCCTGGGCAGTCTCGGCAGAATGAGATAACCCTAGACCCTAAACCCCTAAACCCTCAACCCTATAAAAACCCTAAACCCCTAAACCCTAAACCTTAAACCCCAAAGCCCTAAAGCCATCCTCTCTCTAATCCTCTTGCAAAAGCAAACCTGACCCTGACCCAGACCCCGAAAAAGAATCTAAAAAATAGATCCCCTAATTAGGGACCCTAACTACTAAAGGGTACTTTATAGGAACCCCCTTAGGGGATCTATTTTTTAGATCCTTTTGGGGGTCTGGGTAAGCCCTAAACCCTAAACCCTAAACCCTAAACCCCTTTCCCTAACACGCTATCTTTTTTTTAGATCCTTATGGGGGTCTGGGGAAGGACGGCGCGGATGTGGAAGGCGTGGCTCTGCTGGCTCAGCGTGGAGTTCCCCACAAGCCACATCGCAAGGAGGGGGTTTTAGGGTTTAGGGCTTTGGGTTTAGGGTGTAGGGTTTAGGGTTTAGGGTTTAGGGTTTAGGGTCATTGTATAAGCACGTCATAAAGTCTGTAGGGCTGCTGTTACCCAAAGGGTTCCAGTAGTAATATGGTAGCTACTTTGTAGGTATTTGGGCCCCAAAAGTATATACCCCTAGGGCTCCAGTTACCTAAATAGTAGGTTACTAACCATATATTATGTAGCCCAGTAACCTACTATTTAGGTAACTGGAGCCCTAGGGTACCACACTATAACTTGGACCCTTTGGGTTAGAGTACTAGTTAAGGCTTCTTAGTCAGTCTTAGTAGCTGAGCTGGTAAACTTCAAAGGGCCTGGGGAAGATACGAAGCGTTGTTTTGGGCTTATGAGCTGCCAATCCCAATAAACCCTACAACCTGCGAGGACATCAAGATTCCTCCCATCCTTCTCTTCAATTACAAGTTCAATCTGCTGAACGCCTCAAAGGCACAGCTGAAGTCGGATCCGCTGCACAAGCTTGTGCTGAAGAACGTCAAGCATCCCAGTTGTTGAGCTTGGGAGAGTTTCACATGTGGGGACAAGGGTTCAGGGTTTGGGATTCAGGG